CAATTTAAAGATGAAATTTCATTGCATGTTAAAATCTGATTAGATTCTCCGATTACTTAGAATCTTGAAATGGATCATTTAAGTGCAATTCATCTGATTAGACTTAAGGTTCAATTAAAATGCGATTCCCTCAACAATTTTTCATCCTTGATTGCATTTCAATTTTTCTGTTTACTCAGCTCAAAGTCATCTGTTTATAAACCTTTCATGTTGATCAGCTCATAATGATTCAACATGATATTCAGCAAACATGTAATCTTTAAAAACGAAGCAAAACTGAAGACGAATCTCAATTTCTGTAAACTTGAAATGACAAAACATTGACCTTTTCCGATGAAACCTTTCAATGCCTTGCATTTGTTGAATAACCATTGATAATCATGAATTCAGGGTGACATTTAAATTGCATAATTATTGAATAAAAAGCTTAACCCAAAGCTAATGAAATCGTGTTAATGAAGAGTTGAATGTAACACCAAACCATTTATTTCAATTTTTGATACACACATTGAGCTAATATAAAATAATAGCATTTGAAGCAAGATTGTTAATTAACTCTGTAGACGTTTTGTCCGTAAGAAACAACAATTTCTCATTGTAAGCAGATGAACTGAGAATAATTATTTTTTAATATTAAAATGTAACGATGATAAGAGTTGATGAGAATCCCAACTAACGGTGAACAATAAATTAATGCAAATAACGTTAATGTTAACTGTTAACAAATCTCTTATGAAAACTAATGATAATTCTTAATGATGTTATTCCTTGTAAATGAAGTAATATTGTAAAACCAAAGCTCTGGAGGCAAAAAAAGTTATCCTTTCATGATGAAAAGGTGTATTCTTGTTCTTGGAAGGCGAAGGCGAAGAGCAAAAAAAAGCGAAATAATGAAATGAATCATTTTTGAAGGTAAATATGATGAAAAACACCGAAAAAAAGGAAATGCTAAAACTGATAAGCAAATGAGGCTTAGTAATGATCTTGTTATGATAATGTTAACTCTGTTTTTTTGTATCATCTATTTACGTTAAAGGGTTTAACCTGGTTAACCATCAACAATAATCAAGTAAATGGGCAACAATGGAATGGATTAATGATGTTTACATTAATTATTGAAGCAAGGCAATGATTATCATGATTGAAAGTTGGATCCAGGTAAACAGGTTGAATGATGAAGAGAGAAGGAAAAATGTATCGAGTTGTGATTGTTTCCATCAAGTTGATCATCATTTCCAATCAACATTTCAATATCCAAATTAATCTCTTTTCAATCTAATTTCCGTAGAGATTAAGGTAAAAATGTTAACGAGGATAATATGATTATGGCCATTGTGTTGGTCTCGAGGTTCACTTGGATCATCATCATCTTTATGATCAACTCTGAAAAACGTTGAGTCAACAGTAATGACAATGTAAAACTATTTTCCCTGCAAATGAATACAATGTCAATTGATATCATGTAGTCCTGGTTACCTTATAATCATTAGACAAAAAGGTCAGCCTTTGTTTACTTTGTCCCTTTTACTTGTGACCTGTCAAATGGCAAATTGTTGCTTTTTTTGGATAAATTTTTGGTGAAAATTTTCTTTTCTCGATCAATAACCTAAATGTGACAATAATTTTGTCAACAGATCTTGTCCAGAATGTGAGACGAAATTGGGTTAAATTTGGTTTGGTTAACTGGATAATTGATCATTTTCAGGATGAAATTGAATGTACAAATTGGCGAGACTTTTGAAAGGTTGGAGAAGCAGGAAAAGACATAAGACGAAAAAAACAATTGACCATTTCAAGTAAATTTATTGCAAGAGTAAACATTTCAAGATGTAAAGAGAGACAAAAATGATTACTGTAACTGGGAGGCAAAATTTATCGATATTATAAAACTGCCTTTTCGCCATTCTCTTCACATATCATAGTCAATCGAGTTAGCATCTTTATTGATTTTAGTCTCAACTGTTGAGTGAAATGTTTTTTCCCTTCAAACTGTTGCTCTTTCAATTACAACACTTTGTACTGTTGATTGGCTTTTTGTGAAAACTTTCATCAAAAATACTTTTATCTAATTTTACTTTTCCATTGTTAATAGGCTGGTAATTCAATTAAGATCACTTGAAATATTTCATTTTCTCAATCCATTTGCTATTTATGAGAAGAGAAAAAAGTATTTTCCAAAATGTGGACGTTCAACTGAACACTTGAACATCACTCAATGTTCAACGATCGAACTCATTACAAGGGCGAAATGTACATTTGCTCATTGAGCTACAATTGATGGTGACAAATGAGTAAAAATTGAATCAATTTGTTTTCCATGTTTCGTCCTTGTCGCTCTTTTGCTCATTCAATAATCACATTTACATGAGATTGAATCTGATAATTTTTTTGTTTGTCCAACATGAAAAGTCAAGGATTATCAATTAGATTAACCTTGATTTAATCCAACAACTGTTTTCCCTCGAACTTGCTGTTGAAGGTAAAAGCGTCTGAAAAATATCATCAATTCAAATCTCAAGTGGAAATCAATTTTTTTGATTAAATCATGTTGAGACGAAAACGTTTACTCTTGATTGGTATCATTGATAGTCGACAGCTTACACAATACATTTTACCATTAATTTGCATCATCATTAATATCGTCAAATCTTAATCAATCAAAGTTTCGATGGAAATTATTCTCACTCAATTCAATTGTTTTCATGGTAAAACAAGTAAAATGTTATTAAATTGACTCTTGCAACTTGTTGAACTTCATTACTAAATATAATCAACTTTATCGATTCCTTTTGATCCAATTTCGCAGTTTTTTTGTTGTTTTGTTTCAATTTTCTGCTTCATTTAGGTTCAACTCGAGATAAGATTTTCGACATTTAATTGACTTAAAAGTGCAAAACTTTTGTCTGATAGAAACTTTTTTTCCAAATTAAGACTCAAAAAGTATGTTTGAAACATGATAAAACTCAATAATGGATGCAAATTTAATATCTTCCTTTGGCGTTCCAATATTGGAATTTGATTCTTTTAAGTTTCCAAAAATTGGATTGAATTAAATGAACTTTAATGTTGGATTTTGTTTAGCATTTGCTTTTCACGAATAATGATATTGAAACTTGATGGTTCTAAGTGTTGATTTACTGTAGCCACAGGCATTAAGTTTAAGCCTTTCCGATAAACGATGCTGCATATGCGAGACAATGTAAGCCAAGAAATAAATGCTTAAGATGCACTTTACTTTTATCTAATTTATATTGGATTGAATAGTTTTGATAAGTTTATTTCGATAATGATTTTGGCAGTTCGAAAGTCGATTATAAAAAGTGTTTAGTCGAGTTTGCACTTGGAATGTTGGCCAATGAATAAGAGGTTTCACGGTGAAGCACAACGAATGCTATCAATTTGAATTCATTAGCGATCATAAAAAATTTAAAGTCTAAAGTTTGCACTTAGTTTGAAAAGGTTAAAGAATGGAGATGAAAATTGAACTGTCATAACATTTTCAGTTGATGATCTTTTCACCAATTTAATGCAAACACAAAGCAGATGGAAAGAGACGTTGATCATGATAGTCATGAATAAATTGTGTTTCAATGGAAATCGTCAAAAATTGTGATTTCAATTAAAATGAACAATCAAAAGATCTTATCCTTTTTCTGTTACATTTGAAAGAAACGCAATTTTCAGGGAAAATGGTGTAAATGATGAACAATAAAGTTGATTAATAACAAAATGTTTACTAAAATGGAAGCGATTCGTTCAAATGAATAAATAAAAGCAAATTGAATAACACAAAAGGCGAATAAGATTGCGTTTTAAATCAAACTTCAACCCATTGAACCCAAAATTTTCAATTTTTAACTCAAAATGTAACAAAAACTATTCCAAGTAAAACCTTAATGAAATGTTTCCAACAAATTATTCTGCTTAGAAATTCAAGTTTGTCTGAATGCAGTTAATTAGTTGAATCTATTTATAAATTGATTGCAAGTTGGTCAACAAGGAAAGGTGTCGAGTTGATTAAATAAAGTCAACTAACATCCGTAAGAAATCAAAGTCTCTTGACAATCGAAAGACTAATTAGAAGCAATCAACATTACTTGTTGATCATAAACTGTTTCTTGTTTTTTTATCTTTTTACACTTTCCGTTTCACAGAATCCAATGTAACGATAATTATTGGAATGAAATGAATTGAGATTAATGAGATTAACAGTTCAAGAGTCGCTTTAATCGGATTTTGTTTCTTTAGTTTTTTCATCCACTTTTATTCAAACCAAAATTCCCATCAATTCCCTGTTGATAAACTTATATTTAAATCTTTTGATGAGTTTAGTTTGCTAATAAATGTTGACGAAGAAATGCCTTTTTTATCCCAATCTCAATATAGATAATGTTTTATTGCCAACTTTAGAGTTATCATTTTTTTCACTCCCAGTTATAGGTTCAGCTTTTCGCTTTGGGTCATTCGTTACATGCAAATTTCAATCGAAATGAAGAATGAAATTGTCATGATTAATTCGATTTTCATTTTTTCTCGTTTTTTTCACTCAATTAATTTGATTTATTTGACCAAATCTTGGAAGATTTGGAAAATTGAGCGATTTCGTTGGAACGAAGAAAAAAATTCTTAATGAAATTGAAAGGTTGATAGATGCTGAAGTATAAATTGAGAAAATGGCGAAATATGAAAAAAATGAATTCTCAATCTGATTGACATGATGAAATGAAGAATGTCAAAAATATCAGAATTTCTTTGAGTTATTATCAGGTAAAAAGTTGTTCTTGAGAAAGAAGAAACTTTTTTTGTTCTCTATTCTTTTCTTCTCTCTTTTATTTTCTTCAGAACAAAGCTTGGTGTGAATAAAGACTGAATTAAATTGAATCAATATCATGAACGGAAGCGCAAACATGAAAAGAAATCTTAAAATGTGGGAAATTCAATTGAAGACTTAGTTCAATGGAATGTCTTTTCCGATGAAAAATGAAACTTTATCAACTTACCTTAAATTGTAGGTTTAAAGGCAAAGGATTTTATCAACAATTTTGGGATAACTTTATCAGCCAACTTTGTATCTCTGTAATTATCCAAAGGGAAGACACAGAACATTAGAATCATGAGAAAGTTGAATCAGAATCGTTAGTGGATAAAACGGAAAAATTAATGAGAAATAAATTCTTTGTATCAAATCGTAATCGATCTCAATTTAAAATAAAAAACTTGAAAGGTTGAGAGAAACAAGATTAAAGTGATTAAAAATACTCACACAATTTATCTGAATCAACTGAAATCACTAATTGTTTTATCTTTCGATCACAATGAATGTTTCACTTGCAAACCAAGTTGAGTTACAAACTTGTTAACAGGAAAGGTTTTTCATGAATAACTGATTCAACAATCTTTTTATATTTCGCTAAGTTCAGAGGGAGTTTTATCATCATCATCATCATACTCGTCATTATTATCACAGTATAGTTCGAGATAGGACAGGGAATGAGCATTCTCCTTGTGAGAGTTACTATCTTCAGAGTTCAACTTTACAATTTTTTCTCTTCTTCTCTTTTCTTCGATTTCAACCTTTTCCTTCGAACAGAGATAATAATGATAATGATAGCCTACGACTGGGAGTTGTGATGTAACTGGATGATAACTTGGCCACTTGCTAGGAATCTAATGGGAAAATGCTTTATAAACTGAGAAAGAGAAGAAGAAGAAAAAGTGAATTCGAATGATAACTTTTTTTCTGTTTTGCATCTCGTCATCCTTCAATAATCATTATTATTAATACATTAAAATAATGTTGTTGATTCAATATTTTCTTTGTTTTTCTATTCTCACTACACTTGAACCGGAAATAAAGTTCAAGTTATTTTTGAGTAATTATTTCAACTAATATGTGTTTTGGTACAAGGGTGAGTCTTGAGCCAATAATCAGATAACATGTTTGCTTTGCTCTTTTCAGGGAACAACAGAATTTCACGTTTTCTTTTGCATTCATTTCGCGTAAATTAATGGCTTTGGTTTTTTGTTTCATTGAAGTTGAACATGCATTCACGATTCATGATTAACATGATTTATTTGGTGATGGTTAAAGCAAACCTTTGCATGTTGAAAGTATTTTAACTTTCACCATTTAATTTGTTCAATTATTTTCATCTTCATTTTTTGCAATTCTGACTTTCACTCATTAGTTTCCAATAAATGCTATTCACTTGAAATGAATTATTTTCATTTTCAATCGATAATTGATGAAATGTCTTGATTCAATTTCACTATTTAATGGTGAAAAGATTTGATACAAATAAATTATTTAAACTGTGACATTAAGGCAATGTTTTGTTAAATGTTAACTTCAATGATATAAATTAATAAGTTTATTTCCCTTCCCAGAGTTTTTTATCTGCAACTCTTCTCGTAAAGATTTTTTGACTTTTTCGAGTTTTGCAATTCATTGATTTAAATTAGTTTTTCCATCGATTTGAGTTTATTGATCTCTTAATTGTCCAATTTGACAGGGTTAACCATCTATTTGACTTTGTCAGTGTTCGTCTATTGACTCGCTTCAAAATAGCGCTCATGAATTCATCAATTATACAATGATTTCCTTTTAGCATCAAAGTATTAGAATTGCAATTTTTCTTCGCAATTCTTCTTAACCTCGACAGAAGCTGGATTCCTTATTTCTCTTTCTTCTCTCCTCAATCTTGTCTTTTCCTCTTTTATTGAGTTGTAGTTCGTTTTAGTTGGAATCTTCTTCTCCTTTCTTAGTTCTGGTAGTCAGAACGAAAAGTGAGCGTAGTGATTTGATTAAAACTAAACATCGTAATTGAATTCTGGTAGAGCGAACCATATTAAAAAGAAGAAGGAGAGAATAAAGTCCGATTAAAGATTGCTTCAAGTGGACTCTGATCAACAGCTGAACCAGCATCAATTATAATTCACAGACTTATAGTGATAGGCCTGAACTGATTATGCAAGGAAGATTAAACAAAGAAAAGAATAACAACGAAACCGCTTGAAAGAAAGAAAAATAACCAAAATCTATCCATTTCTAGTTAACCATTGTCGGTAGAAACAACGACATTCTCTCTTGTCGTTTCCCGGTAACAACATGGATTCCTTTTTTAGTTCAACCATTCTTGAGAATCTTATTATATTCCATTTACTTTTATATCTTAAACATTGTATTTCTTATTTATTCTGTTATTTGTGTATTCATGCATCTGCTTAGTGTAACCTGGCACATCTTTGGTTTGCGTTAAAAATATAAACTGCATATCCAAATCTACATAACTGTTATTAAAAACGGGAATAAGACACTATTAATATATAAATTTATCAGGTAAACTTACTAGTCTTTGACCTTTAATGCTAATTACCCATTGAAGCTGTCAATCCAAAGTTGAGCAATTTTCGTTTTCCATCTTTTCCTTTGGTTTAGCTTTGATTCGCCAATTTCGCCCAATTAACTGATCCTATTCGAGTCCTGTCAGGATAAATTGTGAATAAGAAAAGTGAGAATATTAATTGAATGCAATGAACCTTGAATTAAATAGTATTTTATACAAGTTATATTGAAATTGGCTTACTTAATCTCTTGAATTCTTCGACTAATTCAGTGTGAATAAAGTACATTGAATCAAAAACATCAATGAAACTAATAAGTTCAGAGTTTATTCGTCTTCTGAAAAGATCAACAAGAAATAGCATGTAAAAAGAAGAAACGTTACAGATTCTATGTGGAATAGAAGCAAAAAATTGAAAATTACCTCGTGACTTAAAAGTCGATAAAATTGTATAATAAGTCGATATAATCATTATCACCATTCTGAATTAGAGGAAATCCTCGACCCATTATCAGTTCTAGTCGAAATAACAAGCATTTTCTTAACTTTTCATGTTCTTTACTCGTCACTTGTGTTCAGAGGATAAACGGATTAGTTCTGACCTGATTAGTTTCTTCCTAAATGTTTTCTTTGAAACATTTTTTTCAAAAGATTAAAAAGTTTCGTAAATCAAACGAATCAGAGCATTTGAAATGCATTAAAACCTTGAAAATACATCCAATGGTTGATATTCAGTCGTTTTGAAAACAATTACAGTTTCTTCGGGTGACTTTGACACCTAGTGAGAAAATGGAGTCAATTTGTGTTGAATTCAAGTTTTAAAGTAAAATGTTTTTGAAAAGGCCAATCATTTCGACATCGATATACTATTATATAACTTACCTTGACAATGAACCAATCGCTTCCAAGACAGTCGACGAAGGCAATTCGTGTGTGAACATTGGAACAAAAATTGTTTTGACTGTCTTGCAAATCTTTTCGTCAAAATGTCATGTCAATTATCTAGTGAAATGGCAATAATTCAATTGAAAAACAAATCCTTCGCAATTTACAGTTGAACAGTTCAAGACTGAATCAAAGTTTTTCAAAAAGTAAAGTTTAAATGGTTCAACATATTGTTAAATAGATTAGGTAACCACTAAGCCTCAGTTCTGTAAATTTTATTTTATAAATTTTGTATTATCTATCAATCACTTGAGCTATTACTGTATTATAGAATGTTCAATTGTTATTGTCAGCCAATTGTTATTAACTATTTCCATTCAGTTAACATGGAAAAGGTCAGATTTATTCATTTTCCCAATAGTTAAGCGGGTTTATTGTTGCAAGGTGAAATAGTAAGTTGAAATTTTGCAAGAATCAAAAAAACAAAATCATTTTATAACAGATACAAACGTTTCAAAGGTCAAGAACAAAAGTCAACAGAATTATCAAAATAATCATTTAACATCATTTTATCAATTAGTACAGCACAGGAACAGCAATTTTGATAAAAAGCTAAATCAATAGCTTCACCCAATCTAACGCTATTTAAAGCAACATGTTTCAATATTCACAGATTTAATGATTTGCTCAATTAAGGTATTACAATATTTTCCCACCGATTGATGTTAATTAAGTTTCAACTTTATCTTATTTTATCATGAATATATTAACGCTGTTCAATATTGATTACCTTTTCTGCTTTGCTTACAAATGCAATTGAAGTGAAAATAACTATTGAGTCAAAATATTTGCTAGTGAATTGTAAATCTTGCTTATTAATATCATGTTGACTTCAATGTCAATTTGCAAGCTCAAGATTATTCAGATGTTCAGCTATTCTGTGAAACTATTTACTCAGGTTGAATATTGTCTGATCATAAATTAATGGTTGATAAAGCAAATGGTGAATCCAAATTTTTGTCAAAATAACCATTGAAAGGTAAAGGTTATAAGGCTAACAAAATGTTATGAATAGAGCAACAAGTAAACACAAATGTCATGAATTGGACTTTTTTCAAAGGCTATTGTATTGGAGTCGCTGGTAAATCAATAAATGATTGAAGGTAAAGATTTTAATGTTTCTTAAAATATCCTAATCAAGTTATAAATGAAGCAAAGTAAAGGACTCGAGTGAAAATAAATAATAGTTTAAAAGAGTTGTTTGTCATCAATTGGTTCATTGAGTTTCAATTTCAATTCAATCACCAACAAATCGGACAAGTTAAATTGATTTTTACTTCTCACATTTTTAATGCAATATTAATAACAAAAGGTTGAACCAAAAGGTTGATACTCTGTATTGATATTAATCCTAAGCTTAAAGTATTGATTGAACTGAATTGGAAGTAATCGAAAGGGAAATTAAATTGAAAAAATGTCTTTAATCACAAATAAATTGGTGAAAATTGATTGAAAATTGTTCAAGTTTGAGGAAGAGTCAGTCTGAAGAAGTGAAAACAAGACAATAAATGTAGACTTTGGCTTCAGTTCAAGACAATTTATCATTGAGAACATTGTATTGAATATTTTAACGTTTAAGGTTCTGTAACTCAGTCTTGCCATTTACAGTTTACATTTACTGTCAAAATGAATCACAGTTATGGTGATAATAATGACAATCAGTGTGATTCCAATGATATCCAGTGTTAACCTGACTCCGCTTAATTGAACTTTAAATTGATTCTTACAATTTCGTTTACACGAATAAATATAATTTATACTTTTTTTCACTCCAACTTTACCTTGCAACTTTATGCTTTTGTTTAAATTTTTTTGCTCAACATTTCAATATTACAGTCGAATCCATTTTTAAGGTAAATTTAATGTTACCTGGAATGATAATCATTACAAATGATGAAAATTTCCAACAGATTTTTCTCTATTTTCATTCTTCTCATTCTAATGTGATGAATTTTTTGGTGAATCTTTTTAACTTGGTTTCTCTTTCTCTCAACAAATTAAATTATAATGTTATTGAATAAGCCAAATGTCTAATCTGATACAATGAATATCATGTTGTGAATGTGATTCACTGTTTGCCATGTTTTCATCATTATTGTTTCTCATGTAAACATACATCTAAATTGTTTATATTTATTTATCCATTTTGATGAAAAGTTATGTGAATAGAAAAATGGACGTAAATGTTGTCTCGAAATGATCTTAAGTGACATTTTGCTTGTGTTTAACTGATAATCTGTCTCGTTTCATGGTTGCGCTTTTGGTTATTCATAATCTTTAAGATATATTGCTTAATATTGTATTTTTGTTTGATCAACTTATCGATAATATTTTAAAAAGAAGCATAATTTATTCATTCTTTGATATAATCTGTTACAGCTTGCATAAATGTAATCATACTTAACGGTTTCTATTAATACTTGAAATTGAATCAGTAATCTTCATATTGATCTATTTGATTGACAATGATTCATGTTAAAGTTTATCATTGGATTAAATAAAGCTTTTGCTAACTAAATTCATTAAAATTAGTAATCAAATTAGTTCATTTATTGTTTTGTTTTCCATCCATTCCATTGTTATCTTAGGATAGAATAACCTAGTGGTTATTGCTTCAGGAAATTGCTGGAAGCAATTTGCTGCTGCAATAGTTTGTCAAAGAAATATAGTTTGTATTAAATTTTTCTTGCAATGAACTTAATTATACGTTTATTAAAATTATTAAAATAAACATGGATGAACACGAGAATTTCACTTCGATTCCATTGCCCCAGTTGGTTAATGCCCATAAACAGCTTTTGTCCTTTCGTGATAGAGTTGAAAATTTCTGGGATTGGCTGTCCTTTGCAAGATTATTTGCCATGAAGAATTTGCTCAACCAGCTTTGCGATAGTGTAGAAAGTGTATCACTAGATGACGAGCTTTGATATTAGTGCTTCTCTGGAAAATGAAATTGGATACTTGCTCTCATGTGAAATAAAAGCAAAAATAAAACGATATGGATCATTTAATTTAATATGCAATTAAAGATCTTTATTAAAGTAGCTATTTCAATCAAACTTACTTGAGATCAATTGACAACGATGAATGCATATGAGAGCCGATCGTGCAACCCGAAAAAAATCAACGATCAGCAGCATGAAAGCAATAAATGTTTTTAAAACTAGAAACTTGATTATATTGTGATGAGAAAAGGACAATCAAAGTTATCATCAATGAATGCATTTCAAAGCCAATTTCTTACCGTGAAATAACTCAACGCTTACCAGGATGAAGGCGATAAATGCTGTTTTTAGTTAGCAAGCTTTATAAAGACTATTTAAGCAATGTTTACAACACCGACTAATCAGGAACTATCAAGGGGTCCTCGTTGTAGTCGTTTAACAGAATGATCCTTACAGATACCGGGCCTCTGGGTTAAACTGACCACAGTTTCCTTCAATTTAATTTACATTAGTTTGTTATTCTTATTTGGTTTGTTTCCTCCCTTTCTTTTCTGCAATATGTCTTTTTATGTCAATGAGTCAGTAAAACCAAATAAACGTGCTGAGTCTAATCTAAAGACCACATTTGAACCATGTGACGATAATTCTATAAACAATGTTTTGTCAACATCTCTGAACAATGTGCCGGAATGATGCCTTTCCTTAAATGTTTGTGATTAAAATTAAAGCGTAAATTGAGACATTCTCTAACCCATTTTGTCTCAAAATTTGGTCTAACTAGCCAAAGAAAAGGCTTTCAACTTGGATCATAAACATTGCTCATTTCCAGATTAGAACCAAACCATTAGATAATATTGAAAAGATTAAGATTAAATAATAAGCGATTAAACAATTAACATTGAGAGTTATAAAAATGTTACTCACGGAGTTAACCTGATTTATCTTGAGTCCAAAATATTGGTACATTAGCCATTGAGAAACTATACTTGGTTTAGCGATGGTCCCTATTTAGGAGGAGTTTGGTCTTCTTTATCATTTGGTTGAATTTCGATTCGATTACTTTAATTATCAATTGACTTAATCAAATTTTCTTTCGTTAAATATCAATAAAAAAATCGAAAAATCAGCTTTAAGCAACATTTTAGGTTAAATTTGATCTATTAAAGAAGCTTTAAAATCATGCATTTCGCTGCTCAACGAATAGTATAAAAAAAGCTATTTCTAGTGAGGTGCCCTTTCTCAACAGTAACTGTAAATCAATCTGGAAACGAGATTTGGAAATGTAACAGAATTATTTTCTCAAAAACTCACTTTCAATTGACTGATTGTGAGTGAATATGAGAATTAAAACATTTCTATAATTTGTTTGCTCTGTTCAATCAAATCAAATTGATTGAATTAATGAGATTGAGACAAGTTCACTGGTTGGTATGTGGCGCCATCTTGAACATCTTTTTCACATCTGTTCACAGTTGTTTATTTTTGAAAATTTTGAATTGGAAGTTGAGTCTGCTGTTTTTGTACTTGGTTGGTTTTACTTGTAACTGAGTCACTTTTTTTGTTATTTGGTGTTAATTTTCAAATTACTAATTGTTATATTTTCTAAATTCTTAAAAATGCCTTCTAAAAACATTTACTACTCGGATAAATATTATGATGATAAATACGAATACAGGTAAGCTGAGTTTTGTTGTAATTATCTCTAACACTTTTCTTCTTTAAGCTAACTTTGATTACTTTCATTTCCTTGATCGTCATAACTTTTCTATCTTGTTCTTGCATTTTGACGCTCCTTAAAGATGCATTTTCACCAGATTTCTCATTTAAAATCCTATTTTCTTCTCATTTTTTCTCCTTCCAATTCTGTTTTAGACATGTAACCTTACCGAATGAGATTGCCAAAATGGTCCCAAAGACACATTTAATGTCTGAAGACGAGTGGAGAAGTCTAGGAATCCAGCAAAGTCAGGGTTGGATACACTACATGATTCATGAACCCGAGCCTCATATTTTGCTATTCCGAAGGCCGCTTAAAGGTCAACCACCTACTCAAGTTGAACAATTAAAGGCAGAAATGACTGCCGAGCAATGATGCTATTGCAAGATTAGCTGTCTATCTATACCAAATTTCTTGTCATTTCATCCTGTCTTCATATTGGATATTTAAATTCAGAAATGCAGCGCAATGTACAAAATAACAGTTTTAAAATAAGGCAAATTTTTCTATACCTATTTCCTTAACATGATTAAAACATTCCCGCCTTAAAACTGTTTACTATGAGTCAACATTTATTTTGACAAAGAATCAGAGCCATCTCTTGATTACATAGTCATTTCCAACAAGATTTAAGTTGAAATCATTCAATTCTTCCTGAAAGTGCATGTGAAAACTAAGTGAGTAAGGCTGACCAGTCTATGTCTTATGCTTTATAAACAGGTCAGATGCTTTAAGGGCATTTACTCGGTAAAATTTACTGTACAATGTACAGTGTGTTAAGAAAGTTCATTTAATGGGTGGGGCATAGTAAATGGCGGTTTTTCTAATTCCATTTTTAAAAATGTCAATAAATGTAAATTGAAGATAGACCATGAAAAGTGAAGCTTTGGAGATTGAAATAAAAATGAAACACGAATTGATTATAAATTATAACAGTAGATTATGATTTTATTTAAAATAACAAAATAAATACTCATTAATAAATTAACAAACTAAAATTTACCGGCCAATTCTTTTTTCAAATAATCTATTTCTTTACCAGTTTGATTTACCTCCCTATTTAAATGTTCAATTGAACTATAAAATTTTAAAAACTTGGAACGCAATTCATCAAACCTCAGGCCGTTGATAGTTCCAAGTAAAGTTAGATTACCATTGATTTCAATGTCCTTTTCAAATATAAAGGTTTTATAAATTTCAGATGCTTCATCAGTTCGTAAAAACGATGAAACAGGGATTCCATTGATTGTTTTTACCACTAAATTATCAACTTCTAGAGTTTTAAAATGTTTCCGACCAAAAATCTTGGCTGGTGATGTTAATAATTCAAGTGCTCTTAATTGCCTGTTGAAGTTTGAACGAGCACTGGATGTTACGTCCTTTGTACTGATACCGTGATGGAATATTAACTTTGAATCAACTCGATTAGAACGGCTTTTACGTAAAACATCTTTCCTCAAATCAATTACAGTATTGTTAAGTGTAATCAATGGAGAGCTAATTAATCCTTTTTTGAATATTACATTACGAGGGAAAGTGAATCTTCCCTCAAGGAATTGATCATCAATATTTCGAAATGCCATGTTAGCAAACTTGTTCAGATCTTGACCATTTATTGTTGCATTTTGGCCCACCAAATTACCTCCAATGTAAACTGGACCAGAAAAGGTAACATTTCGCAAAATTACGTCTGAATGGATTGTTTGATCATTTGTTAAGCTCAGATAGTTTTGATTTAAATATGAAGGGTCAATATTGTTAAGTCGTCCGCCAAGAGAAATGGGTCCGTTGACTACTAGTCTTTTAAACCTTTTGAATCCTTTTAATGATCGGCGAATCATCTGGTTTACTATTTTATCATCGAAGGCCTTTCCATTAACAGTATTTGCCGTGATGGGAGCTTCAGCTGTTACATTGCCAATTATAGTCAATGAATATTGACGACTGAAAAGATCTTTAATGGGATCACACATCGATCCACTGATTGAAACATTATTAATCGTTGATTTAACTGTGAGTGTTTTCGCAGTTATACCATGAGGGAAATGTGCATCGCCTGGAATAACTATTGGAACCTTTCGATTCATCATTTCTTTAGCAAAACGTATTCCATTTATAGTTGGCGATTCTACATTACCACCAATGATACGAGCATGACGGAAGTTCATTGGTCGATTAATGAAAATTGGTTTTGTTTCGAAAGAGTTCATTTGGTTAATATGTAATTCGTTTAGCTTTCCAGTCACACTCAAGTTATCTTCAACGAAGACATCTGCATTTATCGTAACATTAGCTTGTATTTCGCGATCTTCTGAAATTAAATAATTTCTTGCAAATTGATCCCTTGTATAGCCAGCAAAAGTTTTATGGAACTCGATGTTACCAAAAGTTGTTGGAGCCATGAATTGTTTCTTTCCTCTAATGCTTTGGACCTCATTAGAGCGCAAATAAACAACTGATCTTAAAATATCATTTAATCTGAGTCCATCGAGATTTTCGACATTTATATTGGCATCTGCAGGTATAACCAATTTCGTAACATGAATTTGAGGTGTAATAGACTGATAGTCTCTTTTGTTGATAGAGTTGCTTAGTAATTCATCAATCGCAATATTATTAATCGACTTTAACCCGCTGATAGATTTGATTGAGCTGCTACCTTCAACATGAACTGAAGTGAATGATTTGTTTCCCAAAATGGTTCGGCTGTCTCCATTTAATAGAACAAGATCTTTCATTGGTGCGCTGTTGAGTTTGTCAACATATAAATTCTTGACATACACATTACCATTGATGCTTTTATAACCTGTAATATTTTGATCTCCGTTTGTTGTCAATGAGTCCCATAGAGCAGCATCGAGAGGATAACCATTGACTAGCGATATATTCAAGCTTGACATTACAGTTATGTTATTGGAAATATAGGTTGTTCCTTTGATGATTTGATCAGTTTTAACAGTAATAAAGTCATCGGGAAATTTCAAACCATTGATTGAGTCACATTTCAATGGTTTGGTGAAAATTGCTTTCGATATGTTGAGATGAACAGCAGGGATCACAGGTTGATTAACTTTCAAATAATCGGTCATCAAGCTAGTTAAATTAATACCATTAATCAAACCATCAACTTTTATGGATTCTAGTTTGATCGGACCAGACAAGACACGATTTTTGCCACCTTGAATCATTCGGTTCATTCTGTCCTCCAATTCGTTGATTTTCAAAGGTCCAACATTATCTCCATAAACCGAAACTTTACTTGCAGTGATGTTGCGGAAGACTTTCAAGCCAGTGATAACTTGAGAACCGGATTTTAAAAGGAGACCTAGAGATCTGTTGACAATAGGCCGTCCATTTAAGTAACCATCAATTTCCATTGATCTTATATTAACAGGGCCACTAAAAACTTTATCACCTTTAATCTTTATTGGCGTATCTCGTCGTACTATCACCTCATCGAATCTGTTACCGTTGATGTTCTCTATCCAAGCATCACCTTTGATTATTAAATCATTTACAGTGACATGTCCCATTAAAGTTTGAGGTCCATCTCGTGTTAACAAATTACGCGTAAGATCAGTTAAGTTAAATCCATTAATAGTGCCTCCGCTGATTAACAGGTTATCGACATACAGAGTATTGAACATCTTCTTTCCAGAAATTGGACGGTCGCTATCAACTTGTACAATGTTTGAGAGAAAAGTATTAACATCTTTGTCAATTTGCGGCAGTCGACCTTCAATATAAAGATCTCTGACATTTAAACTATCAGTGAAGGTAATTGGTGAGGTAATGACCTGTGGTCCAGTGGTTGTAAGGACAGTTTGTCGATTGATTCTGATTCCATTGATAGTGCCAGGTACGATAAGTTTATTAACAGCAACTGGACCTTCAAATGTTATACTAGCATTGATGAAATTATCGCTATCTCTTGTGACAATATCTGAAGGCATAATATTATTAATGAAATTTGCGGCTAAATCTCCAACCACAAGTTTAGAGAAATTGAAATGATCAATTAAATGTTGATCTTGATCCAACCGAATGACTTTAGATGACAGTCCCTTGACATTTCGACCGTTTAATAATATTGTCTCAATGAAGTTGATATCACAGCCTGCACTTCCACAATTAAGGTAAACGTTGTCAAAGGTAATATCTCCAGTAACCTTTTGTTCGCCATCCAGCTTCATAGCATTGCCAAGGAGGACTTTGAGTTTGATGATTTCATTTTCAACCCTAGTTAGCCTTTCATCTGAGGTTGTAAGCGACCGTTGGAAATCATCTCCAAAAGTTGAACCACTCCGACTGATAACATCAGGACTGAGTAATTCATCAAAAACACTCAGAGAGTTGAAAGTAATATCTCCATTAAGATCGATTCCATTGGGATCATCGATATAAAACACATCGTTTAACAGTTTTTCAAGCTGAGAGATATCAATAAGTTCACTAAGTGATTTCTGGCACCAATCTAGACTATCTTCGTAAAATCTTGGAAAGTCACCTGGATTGGACGAAACGAGGAATAAAATATTTCATAGCGATTACGACCAGAAGCTAGATTATATATTAACAAAAGCATGAAATATTTACCTGATTCAAGATTAGCTGTTAAATGCCGGGAAAAACAACAGCTAAAAATAAGAAACGATAAAAATGTGGATGAAAGATGATTAAAATTAATAAACGCCATTACTGCGGCGAGGACGAACGCTATGAAATGAAGCAACTAAAAATTAAAATTAACACACTTCAAGCCAAAGAGTAGCTCTTTGCTTCAAGCTCAATAAAAACGCCATCTCTTGATTTACTCTAATCGCGCTTAACCACTGTTTATTTCAAAATTTAAATCTTGACAAATTTTAAAAAGAAAGAGAAAATCCAAAGACAACTGCATAAGATTATAAAAGATGGCGTTTTTGAATTCAAATTGCTAAAAGTATGTTTGGGTTTGATGTAAGATTATACATGTAAGATTATGATCTTCTTTACCTTTTCCAGATCCAACTCGATAATAGACCCAATTTTAATTAAATACAGATGACTGTAAACACACGTAATCAGATAATGAGACTTTTTGATATTTAAAATTTAGAAGCTCTTTTAATGTCATATGAAACTATTACTTTATAAAAAATTTTAAGATATCTTGCACTTTTTATTTTGATCCATATAAATGGCTCACAATCCCAAGATCATTTCTTTGATCATATGCCCAATTGAACCATCCGATTCAAATTACCTGGATATGGTGAAAAAGTAGATGTTGCATTTCGAATTACAGTTGAGCTATTAGTAGATACAAGGCAATTATTTTTTTTAGCTTCGGTATAACAATTTTTAGCTAGCCAATCTTGTCTTTGTCTATCCAATCCGTCAAAGCATCGTCCAGTACCTTCACACCATCTACAATCTAAACCTGGAACACCAACCGAACAGGATTCGAAATCTTTCAGGGTAATGCAAGCTATAAAAAGAAAAAGCGAATTCATGAAAAATAGTTCAAATAAGTGAAATATTAGATTAAAAAACAAATAAAAACATACTTGGTAAGGCAGTGAAGTAAATTGCGGTGTTGTTGAGTATTTTTTCCTTTTTGAGCGCAACACGATTATAATCAAAGATAGTGTCTTGTCTGATAACTGTTGACAAAGAAACATGAAAACAAATGTTGAAAAACGAAAAGGAGTAACAGAAAAAAGATAAATTAGCTGAATGAGTCTATTGGAAACTAAAAAATATAAGAAACCAAAAAACTTACAGAAAGCAAATCTATCAATTAGATATGCATCAGAAAGTCCAACTTTAACAGGATGATGAGTACTCGGTAAGTCGTTGAATGAAATTGGAAGGTCCTTGTAAACAAAGACAATGTCACCATTTGGAAATAGAGAAACTTGGAAAATAAAAAATATTTGAGGAAGTTCCTTGGTTGCAACATTCTCCCACTGGACAACAAATACAGTCGAATTCTTGGCGTACTTAATTTTCGATGTTTCGTTTAACCGCGTATCAAAATTAGCCATGAACGGAGCAATATATTGGCTTGATGCAAGCCAACTGCGAACAGTATTACCAAGGAAAAGAAATCCTCCGGTCGAAATTCTTATGTTCTTTATCGGATGTCCATAGAACGGGAATTCGAAAGTAAGGTTAACTGATTCAGCAGGACGATGGGATTCAGATAGCATTGGTTGTAAAGCAACATTGGGCATCTTATCAATGTCAACCCAATATTTCATGGCTTCCGTTGGCTTCGTTAATATTTTTGAATTGTAGTATGTATAGTAGCGATTCTGTAAAAGTGATGAAAAAATTATGAAACAATGAATAATGATGAAAATTTATAATGGTTACACTTAAATGTTAGAACAGCTTAGACATTAAGACTCACCCTGTCTGAAAAATTTGTAGGCAAGGGTGCGTCTAAAATATTTATTAGATCATCTTCTTCTGATGTATCGTTGGCATTGAACTCTGTGCTATTAGTTATCCCATAGTTCGTAATATTTAACTCTGATGTAACAGGTTGCGTAGAATTCAAAGAGATGAGCTTGCTGTCATGTTGTAAAGGTGATGAAAAAGCTCTGAGATGGAAACACAGAAACAAAACTGATGTGAAAGAAACATAATTATAGATAACAGACATTTTTAGTTGATAATTAATTTAATTTAATTTTCTTTCGTGAATTAACAATCCAGAAAATCGAAGAGTCAGCTCAAAGTAACATTTCAAGTGTGTGCAAGAAGTGCATAACGATTTTGTTTTGTTGGGTTTTCTCCCGGGTTAAATAGTTTAAATTAAAGAGCTTTTTTTAAACTGATCAGCTTATTTACACTATTCGCCGGGCAACTTATTTTCTTGGTTATCAACAATCTTTAACTAATCAGATTAAAGCTAAATTGCTTATGGGAATGATTTCTCGAGTTTCTTCATTGATGTTTGGCGAAAGAAAATTAGATTTAGTTAATGAATGATCAAATTAATTTAAATGAAATTTAAATTTGATTTAACTCTTCCATTGAGGGGTCATTGAAAAATGGATTCTCATTATCTGGTAGCTTACTGTAGTATTAATACATGATGAGGTCAGCAGAATAGACAAGCAGAGATGGTCAAGAAATCAACAAAACATGAGTTTTGTGATTTAAGAAAAATCTTTCAATTGTTTACATTTATTTATTTTTATTTCTAAAGAAGGTGTTGAAGTTATTCTCATCTAAAATAATTTCTATTTGTTATTGTGTTTTTTATCTAAACCCAATAAAGCTAATTCTGGTTTTTAATGCTCAAGACATTCGAGAAAAAGACACACCTGTCACCATGCACTTTTTCTGTTGAATCAGCGTCCGCAATAAAACATCCAGTAGGGCAATCGTTCTGGAGCCATTGCTGTCTCATTCTGTTGTAACCGTCAGAGCAACGTCCAACAGCGGAACACCAACTTACAACTTAAACCCTTAATACCAATTGAACAGCTTTCACGATTGCCCAGCGTATTACAGGCTTTTAAAGAAAATTAATTTAGTTGTTAAATCTCGAAGAATTTGCAATTAATAAATTAAACATACTTCGCTTGGCAGAGAAATAGATACTTGCGTTTCTGGCATCTTCTATAAATAGACAAGCATTTAGAAAAATCTTGATCCGACTGTATTCATTTATAGTCGTTCTTTGGACTCCATCTGTATTGATGGGAAAATATAATAACGATTTAAATTGGGTGAAATTTCGCATTGAATTAGACCATCAATTGTAAGGAACAGGATTATAATTGTTAACTAAAAGGATGAGTTCATTGTGAAGGGTAGAAAAAGTTAACTTAGTTAATTCATTCAATTCCTTTCTGTTATTCATTCGAATCTCGAGATTCATTCCTTTTTCAATTCAATTTACCTTCAATTGTTTCAATTCATTCAAACTAATTGCTCAAGCAATATTTTAATTCAGTTAAATTCAATTCTTAAATTCATTGTTTAACCAATATTCAAAATCAGTTCTTGAAAACTATGTAAACCCTGAAAATAATGCCTTCTCAAATGTCCAAATCCTGAAAGATAATCTCGTCTAAAGCCTCTAAAACCATGTAAATTTAACCACAATTCTGGTTAAAGAATTGACCAAAATTAAGAGTGAAAATTAAGTGCACAAAAGTAAGAGATGAAAAAATCACTTTCTTTTTTATCTTCATTTTCAACTGTTTTTCACCTCTCTTTAATCCCTTTGCATTGTCAAAGGTACAATCTCTTAGGAGATATATGTCTCAAGACATATTGGTAATGGGTAAAAAGCTTGTAGCTTTACCAGTATTAATTACTGATAAGAGTAAATTTGGTCACTGGTTAAAATCACCAAAACCAGACACAATTAGACAGAGAAAAATCACTTCTTTCTCAATTCCCTCCAATTTCTGTTCTTTTGTTTCAAGAAGGTTATAAAAACCTAATTTTTCATATTTCATTTTTACTTTACAGTCATTCACTGACTAAGTCATTCATTACTCTTGTAATATCCTCTTTAACATTGTTCAATTCAGTATTTCTTAAGAAATCTCTCAATTACAAGATTCAACTTAAATTCAATTCAGTTCCATTATTTTAATAAAGTATTTCCAAGTAAACTCAAAGTATTCCTACTTTATGAATTGTGTATTTCATCTCTTAGGAGATATCAAGAAACTCATATAAGTTAAAGGTGTAGATCTCTAGTGATCCAAGATACGAACTCAAAACTTGTAGTGAAAGCAAGTTCGCAGTCTTCCCCTCAGATTACTTCCGAAACAAACCTTTCACTTGGCGACTCTGGCAGGATTGCTAAGTTCTGTGCCTTCGATTTGTGTGTGTTTCCAAGACTCTGTTTCAATTTGACCTTTCTGAAGGTTATCCTTGTGTTAATTCTTCAACTCTAGAATATCGGACTCGCCGTGCCCTTTATGTGGCTTATTCAGTTCTTAAGAACTATCTCTTCAAATTCAATTCAAATTTAATTCAAAGATTTTCCATAATCTCTTCATAATCAGAAGCACCATAGTTATTTCCATATAACTCTTTCAAGGTAAAATTGACTCAAGTCTCTTCTAGTTTATTCCTTTAAGAATATCCTCACACAATTCCGGACTCTGTCCATTTAATTCAATTCAAATTCAAAGAATACCATTCAACTCTAATTCCTTTAAGAATATTTCTGAACTCAATTAACTTTCAACTTCAATTCAACTTTAAACTTCAAAGTAAATTCCAATTTACTCTCCTATTATTTCAATCCTTCAACAATTAACAAGAACAATTAAAACTCAACTGAATTGAACTTTCAACTTCCAAATTAACTTTCAAATTCAACTAAACTGAACTTCATTTCAACTTTAAATTCAACTATAACTCAATTCCAGTTCAATCTTTCACCTTTAAACAATTAACTTTAAACCAACTCAAGTTCCAAATTTTCATTGCATTCATCTTTACCATCACTTAAGTGATATCCCGATTTACTTTCAATTTCATATTCAACTCATTCACTATGGCAGTTCAAAGAAGAAGAAAATTCAATGTCGCAGCCGATGAACCAATCGTCTATGAAATGAATCTTGAGACTATGACTCAAACTCTACAAGGTTGGAATGTTCTTGTACCTATTCCTTGTCTTGCAAAACGAAGATTCTTCGAGTGTGTAAAAACGCATCTGTTATCTGTTGGTGAGCAATTACCTGATGATGACATCGAATGTCTCCCTACCGCTACAGTTACTCAATTTGCCGTTCCCGATTGGATGACTCAATGCAGACATAATGGAATCACTGAAGACGAGATAAAGACCATAATAAGAACATTAGGTCGAGATCGTGAGGCTGTGTTACGCATAACTTATGCAGATATTTGTTCCATTCCTATCCCTCTTGAATCTCAGCGAAAGCTTTTAGAGATTTTGAACACCTTAGGTGCTCATATCAATCCCATAGCTCAACAGAACAATCAACCTCCTCCACTCTTTCATCCTTCACCTTCCTCTACTCATAGTGAACCCCAAGTAAATCCTCAATTCCTTCTGAATGCACTTTCAAATCTGAAACCAGATCCTCAAATTATTGAATTCAAAAAGGGCGAAGATGTCTTTGAATTTATTACAAATACCAAACAACGGCTCGCTCAAGAGAATGTTGACGATACAACTAGATTACGTCGTTTCAAAAAATCATTAGCCCATGAACTATTAGCTGTTGCTAATACGTTAGATAGTAACATCACAGGCTATAAAGAGTATTTAGACGCTTTAATTAGTGCTTTAAAAACTCCAGCAATGCAGTATTCTGCACAATACCAACTAAGACAACTTCGTTATAACCTTTCTGAACATCCCAATACATTCTTGTTAAAGTTAAAATCTTCCCTCACCAAAGCTGTAGGAACTTATTCAGATGAAGTTTTTAAACATGAACTCTTTAATCACCTTCCTCATTTCATTGTTCATGAAATTAATACCTTAGGTCTTAATGATGATATCACTAAGATTACAAATTTACTTATTCGTAAACATTTCGAGGCTGAACAAAGCAAAAACTTTAACAAAAATAAAACTAATTCCTCTCAACCCCCTCGAACTTCTAATATTAATACTTATCTTCGTAAACCTGATTCAAGAAATCCTAGTTCCAATCGTCCTCAACCTTACCGTCCTCCTCAAACTTCCAATTCAAATACTATTACTTGCAACTATTGTAAACGAACTGGACACACTGTTCAACAATGTAGGACCCGACCACAAAATAACCCCAATTATCGTTCAAATCATTCTAATACTCCTAATAATCCTAATGTCCGAGCAATTACTGCACCCCCAAGTGCAACTTCCCCTGCAAACACCACTCCATCATCTTCAAATTCAGCTCATACTCTTCCTCCTGAACCTCAAGCTGATGCTTTGAGAAATCCAGGACTACTTTGGACACTTTCTTCAGCTCTTACTGTACCGCTTCTAACTAAATTAGGAGAAACAGATCTATGTCATATGCCGCAAGCCACATTCAAGCTCTGCAAACCTACTCGAGAATTAGTTCGAGAAGGCCGAGTATTGCTTGATACGGGTTCGACATTATCAGCCCTTGACGCTACTGTTGCTGATGAACTTAATGCTCATATTATTCCTTACGCAAGATCATTAAAAGGAATTGCTGCAAAGCAATATGTTACCTCTCAAGGTTTTGCCTACGCTATTGTTAAACATCCAGCTATGAGAGAATCACGAGTATTTCGAGTTCACATCGTCCAAAACTTTGAACCAGTTTGCCTGATTGGCAATGCTTTTATTCATCTTTATTATTTCACTTTGAAATCTGATGGAGACCATTATCACACTACTTGCTCTGAATTTCCAGATTCAGCTCCCCTTGATCCTACCTTCTATTTCCGATTTTGCACCCCTGAAGAAACTAAACAAATTTTCGATACTACTACTCTTGCTGATAACACTTCTGAAAACAATTACATTATCGATACTCGCCCAAAACAAACTCAACCAGTTCCCATTCCTGTTCAACTTCCCGAAAGCTCCTCTGCATTAATGGCTAAATGCGAATTTATCACTCAAGAAGAGTGTAAAGAAATTAAAATTCAACCTTTCCGAGAAAAAATAGCAGCTCGAATAAATCCTGATTTACCTCAACCATACCAAGAACAATTAACTGATTTAATTGATTCCTTCCAAGCAAGTTTCTCTAAATCAAAAAATGATTTGGGACTTGTTCCAGCTTCAGTTTGCCCAGTCAAAATTGATCTTGATACCCAAGAAATTCCTGATCAAAAGCCTTATAATTGCGCACTTCATCGTAGATTAGAATTCAAAAAGATAATCAACGAAATGTTAGCTAATGACATTATCGAGCATAGCACTGCTCCTGGGGGATCCCCTTCCCTTTTAGTTCCAAAACCTGATGGAAGTTTTAGAATGGTAATTGATTACCGAAAACTAAACCGAATCACCAAAGTACCAAAGTATCCTATGCCTAGAATCGACGACTGTCTAGAAGTCGTACGA